AAAGATGACATTTTCGGTTTTTTACAAGGATAATATGGTATATATCTATACAAAATATGATTTTTATGGAAATAATGTTTCTCAAGGGACCAAAAACATAAATTTTTGCTTATTGGGCTTATATTTTGGACCCAACGGTTTTTGGGCCCAAATTTGCGAAAAGGATGAAACTTGGGGCTGGAATTGTAAATTTATCAAAGTATAAATAAAAAACGTGAATAAATTAAATTCAGAGGTTGAAAATGACCTTTTTTTGGTAAATTGGACTAATAATGCAAAGTTTTTAGATTTTGGGCCAAAAGTGTAAATCTTACGGCAAATGGGCCAAAAATGTAAATTTTTAGCAAATAACGGCTGAAAATGTCAAAAGTTGTATTTTGGGCTGAAATTATAATTTAAGATTTTATTTGGGCCGAAAATGCCAAGTTAAATAATCTAATGGACTAAAATGTCATTTTTATCAAAAAGGACTAAAAGTGTCATTTTGCACCATTAAGGGCTGAAAATGTAAATTTTGTATGAAAAAGGGACTGAAATAGTCAAATAAACATTTTGGGCCAAATATGTAAATTTCTAAACAATTTGATCAAGGATATAAATTCTTACAACATGAAGGTTTTAAAATGGTATTTTTATAAAAACTAAGAATATCGTTATAAACCAGCATTGAGTATTTTAACATCGAAAGTAAACACTAAGTGTAAACCAAATACCATACTACAACTTATAACGACAAACAGATAAACGATTCAATGGTTGGGCCTAATATTTTCTATTCGTGCTTATTGGGCCTTCGTGACCCAATTATACGATTATTGGGCCCAATATAAGCAAAACATGGTTATTGGGCCTTGGTGACCCAATTACATGCCCAATGGGCCTTCATCAGCTTAAACATGATATTGGGCCTTAGTGGCCCATTTGCATTGCTAATATGACCCTAAACTTTTATCATATGCTCAATGGGCTATAACGTGTCCGTAGCATACTCGACAACCTATAATAACATACATGATTAGTGGGCCACCGTTGTCCTCTTTCGTGTCTGTTAGGCTTACTTCATATTCACGTAAACATCAATCGGGTTGTAAAACAATGTTATTCAATTTCATTGGGATTCAGTGAGAAATAACGGGTGGCACCAATAAATGTCGGCCGTAGCCTGTAGTTATAATCAGAGTCTCCTGGAGGGAGAGCGAGAGTTTGTGTATAGATATATACGGGGGTGACTCCCCCACACCTGAGCTGTTCGCTACAGTTAGACTCGGTCAGTCTAGGGTGACAAAATCTTGATCAAAACCGGCGTTAGGAAAAATGCCAAGACAGGCGAATTAGTCACTATTATGCATGGTTATAACGACTCACATAGAGATCCATTACCATCTAAGTACTCATGGGAAATCATATTCATACACCGTGACGATGCAAAGTGATTTATACAATAAAACAAAACTATCATACTATTTAAATTGGAAAACATCGGGTTTTCCGGGGAACGACATTATTCACTTCTACAGACAACAACTACAATACAAGGAACAATTATGAAAGACATTCACTCTTACATGTTTTGAAATCACATACATATACACTTATGGGATCATCACATCTTTTTTCTTAAACAGTTTTTGTTACAGAAAATATCGGATTTTCTGGGTTTTACAAACAATACAAACTATTTTTATATCAAACATGCTTATGAACTCACCAACATTATATATGTTGACCATTTTCAAAATAACTTGTATTCTCAGGTAACCGTTAGAATGAAGAATCATCAAGCGTGTTTCTGAAATTTCTTTTGTGCAATGTCAATCGTTAAACAATTTATGTTCTGTGATGTTGTAATGTAAACAATGTACTTGATGTGAACAAGGTCAGTTGTAATGTATTAATTCATGGTGATGTTTATGTTATGTTTCATGTATATTCATTGTGATGATATTTCAATTTAAGTCACACGAGCCCTCGGACGTTTCCGCCGTCTGGTTCGGGGGTGTGACATCGACCAACACCGAATGACTATATAAAGTTAAAATAAGACTACGGATCTGTTAACAACATGCTTGAACTGAGATGTCGTTATGAGGAATAAGACTAAAACTCATGCATGAATAAGTTATTGCAAATGAAAATCCACCTAGTTGACGACCGAAGATATCTAGGTTCAATGAGACAACCTACTTACATATAACATTTGCAATTCACAATGAGGGTCAACCCCAACTCATTCTTAAAACAAACAACGATATAGATTAAGCTTAAAATTGTGGATGATAATTTGAAATTCATCACAAATTAGCTTTTAATGATTATTATGAAGTCACCTATATGAGAGAGAAGTGAGGTCGCTTCAAAGGGAATGGTATGGACACATTACTAAGAGCTCTTACAGAACCATGCAAGTGTACAGGAGCATAATAGACACATAAATAAGAACCTAACTAGGTCAGGAAGAATCATGTGAGAGTTGATTATTTACACAAACAACATAACAATTCAAGGACATCGAGTCCACTGATCCTCTAGTAAAATAAATATGCATCTTAAGGGAAAGTTTAAAGGGTAACACTTAAGTATCCTATGCATGATTCAACTGCTATCTGGGTAGCTTGAAAATGTTTGATCAATTTCCATTCACGTGGGAGATTGTTGGAAAAAATATGGTGAATTGAAACGAATCACAAAAGTTCAGGGGTTGAATGGTGTGTAATCAAAAATTGATTTTTAATTTTCAGTTAGAATTCGTAATCAAGAACAATATTAAATATAATATTGGTTACGAATTGTGTTTTAATGTCGACTTAATAGTCTTGTCAGTTATGGTTTGTTGTATAAATACAACCACTCTACAACCCATTTTAGAGACACCAAAAAATGTTAAAGAACTCTCTCATCTTTTACTCATTTCTTGCATATTTTTGCTACTTCAAGGTAAAATTCAGGTCTAATATAAGTTCGAGTGGTCTCGAAGAATCACTTCAAGTTGTTGTATCATAGGAAACAAACACCCGGTAACGGACAAATTTGTTTTAAGGGTACTGTGTTAAACACATGCCTCAACGTTTGTATTTTCTTGTTTATTTTCGTACATTACCGCAATATATTTCCTAGAATTCTCACTTTGTATGTGATGAGATCGTACATACTACTAATTTAGCCTTAATCTTGGGTTGTTATTGTATTGGGGGGACTAAAACGTTAAATATCGTTTTTTTAGTGGCGTGAAGGGGATAGTCGTCTTGTTGCACCGTAGGTGTGGTTAAGTGTCTATGTTCCTCTTTAGACACAACTTATGATGGTTTCATGAATGCAAACCCATCTCAAGGAAGTTCAACTATCGAAGGCAACCCCAACGATGACACACCCATATAGAATGCGAGATGTTTATACAAAGGAAGTTATGTGTTGACTGGTGAGTGACCTAAAATTGGGAAAGGATTATTTTTTGTTATAGATTAAAAGATTAGGGGGTCGGGTGTAATGATTCTAGAAATAATGCGTTGCAACTTGCAAGTCATAGTCAACTTATGGTGTGGTGCGAATTAAAAAGGGCATGAATCAAATAAAGTCATTTTAAATATATATGAACACTAGCCTTTTATGCAACTTTATCCAAACAAGGATAATGCAAGAAACATATGAACACCAATTTGAGTAGTTTATGTAAAAACCATATTTTATATATTCTTATCAAATAAATGAAGATAACCTTAATGATTATGACAAAAGAATATATATTAACGACCTGTTTTTTTAAAGTTTTCATGGGATTAACTTACTAATATTTTCAAGTACTTAACATGTAATGGTGTTATTGGTTTTCAACCACATATTTTATACTAGACATATTCAAATATATATATATATATATATATATATATATATATATATATATATATATATATATATATATATATATATATATATATATATATGATCCACCAAAAATCAAATATAAAAGGTTACAACTTTGATGTTTTTAATCGAGGCTTTAGATATTCATGGGACAAGATACATCTTGTTCTATGATTGGTCAATATCTTTGTCTCCTCTCTTGAAAAACATGCTTTCTCTTTCTCCATATATTAGATTAAATTATGTAAATTTAACGACTAATCATATTAATTATTAAAAACGCAAAGCTTTGACAATGAACGAACATTTACGTGTAACAATCTTTCTCAACTAAAAACACATCGACTTCTAATGATGGGATGTCAATCTTGGTGTATTGAGGACCATAACCAACTTGTATATCATTATTCATTAGGGATCCTTATGATTCTTAATTATAAACAAAGTGGATCTTTACATGAATAACTATAACCAATTATATAATAGCCAATACAACTTAAAAGGATTTAATGGGATCCCTACGAAATTAAGAAATCTTAACACCTAAAGTTTCTTTTAATCAGGAAAATTTTGAGGTTTAAAATTCTACATCCTTCCTTATAAATTATGTTCAAATTAGAGGCGGCAAAATAAATGGATCTAATAGATCCGTAATACATGAAAATAAGTTCATTACAAATCAATAATGTTAACTTTTTAAGGGAATATTCAAAATCTTTTATGAGCTTTAAAAAAAATTACTCGAATTAAAGAAAACGTTTAGTTTTTTACAGATTTCAAAAACTTGCCAATACAGGTATGAGGTATCTAACATTTCAACACAAATAAAACTATAATTTACATCTACCAAGCTACCCTCTATTAACTAGTTTTGACAAAGATATCCTAATTACAAGTTAAATTGAAGTTGAATTGAGTAGGATAAAGTTGGGTAACCAACTAATATCTTTTCAAAACTTTATAAATAATTAATAAATTTAGTATGATAATGAAACTATAGAAAAAATCATTAAAGAAAAAACCAGAAATCTTCGTCAACATAAATCAAACATTAGAATTAAATTACAATTCCCAAGCTTCCTTTTGACAAAATAATTGAAGGGAAGTCTTTTTTTTTTCATTATTTTGAATTTTACAAAGTTCTAGCAACTTTTTCTTGGCTTGCTTTTTCTTCTGCTTCTTCTGGGTTGATCCTTGTTAGCAGCAATAGTAGTGATAGTAGTAGGAGACGATGGTTCTTTATCTTCTTTTTTGACCAACTCTTCATTTGACTTTGCTTTCTTTAACTCCATCTCTTCTTGCATACCTTCTTCATCATCTTCTTCACTTTTATCCACTATTTTCCTAGGCCTGCCTCTCTTTCTTGGGGTAATAAGTTGTCCCTGTTGCTGTTGCACTTGTACCTCTCCAATTACTGATGATGATTCTGCCATGGCTAACGATAGTTCTTTTGTTTTCATTGGCATCTTCTTCTTTCCCATCTCCCAAAAACCCTCAAATCATTGATGTCCCAAACACAAACCCACCAAAAAGATCCAAACTTTTTTGAAAATTTGATCTTATAGGACAATATTATGTAAAGAATCAATACCCACTGAGAAAATCAAAAAAGAATCAAGAAGGTATGGAAACCATGCAACCTTTGAGTATTTACCAAAAAGAAAAGACAAGTAGGATGAGGAGGAAATGAGGTCGAAAGGAAGTGTGATGATAAGTGGGGATAATGAGAAGACTACTGTCTACTACTCCTACTCATCCTTTGTCTTGGCTTTGGTCTACCCTATTTTTTTATATGTGCTTTTTATAAAATTCTAAAAATAGCCCTCAATCTTTATTTAAAATTCATTTTGACCCTCTAGCATGTATGTGTGCATGCCATGCCCCTTAAGTTAATAGATATCATGCAAAACGGGTCTATTGATTTTGAATTTATTGTGTGAAAGATAAAAATGAATCTTAGATTTTTTTTTATATATAAGTAAATTTTATTAATAATACGATAAGTCAATAATTGTTATAAAAATAATCAAAACAAAAGAACAATAGTACAATAAATAATCTTATATAATTATGAACAATCGCGATTGATTGATTGCTACATTTTCTTTAATTGTCGAAAAAGAACATTCATATATGATCAATTAATTGGTGATTGCTAAGGCGGAAAGGTAAACGACTAAATGCAAATATTCTATTGAGGCCTATTGGATAAACAAATTAATGTCTTTCTAGACTAATGAAAGTATTAGACAATGGGACGACTGATTTTGAATACATATATGCATGTATGTAAGATTGTTTTGTCTTTGATCCATCGCAAATAATGATGTAAGTAAAATAAATCGGACCCCTGGACGACACGGGCCATGTGTGGTTGCACATCCGACACATGCATATGGTCCGTCCCGATGTCATGATGGAACGATGGTGGTAACGATGTATATATTAATGTAGTTAATTTATTTGTATTTGCAAAGAATGTTAGACTAGACGCATCCATAACAAAACGACAAGGGAACGACAAGTTAATAGATATATTTTTACTCATAAACCCACATACATTCTCAGTGTTTAGAGTTGTTCATAAACGCATCCACAAATCGACCAAAAATTATACCCATAAAAAGATCTTCATACTTGTATGTGTGTTCAAGTGTTTGAATGACTAACCTATAACATCATAGATACACAAAAATCACGTGTTCGAAGAATCAATTTAATTTAGAAAACCTAAAACCAGACCTAAAATTTTGACTTCTCCCAAAATCGACCCAAACTCAAAGAACAAACCTTAATTTATATGTTGATTTTCTTGATAGAAGAAAGGAAAAAACCTAAAAATCGTTTATGTGTGTTGAACACATTGGACTAAGAGAGAAGAAAAAAACCTAGAAATCGTTTCCGTCTTTATGCTCGTGAGAGAAGAAAGAAACCCACATTGTGGAGAAGAGAGAAAAGAGAAGAAAGAAAGAGAGAAGAGAGAAAAAAAATGTGAAAAAATATGTCATTCAAGAACTTAGATCGCCTGAAAAATCATATTTGACCGGGGAAGATAATTGGAGTCTCGTTGGAGCTACCAAGGACGTTGAAGACCGGCTAAACTTATAATAGTCGGTTATAATGTTAATTTGTGAACATAGCAAATGAGTTTAATGGTCATATATGTATAAAAAACATAAATGACAAAATATGTAAATGAGATAAAAGTTTTTTTTAAGTCATTAACACTTACCTTTTTACCAATGTTTTTTTATTATTTTTTTATTTTACATGTTTAACAAAAAATTGTTAAATAGTTTATCAAATTATTACGTTTTGGTATCATATAAGTTCATCCAAACGACTTTTATTTTCACTTTGTTTTTATAGCACATAAACTAATATATATTCATCAATCTATTTTCCAATTTACATTTTATCTCATGTAATATCTAATCCTTCCTAATAAATGAAAATAATTTTGTCACTTGTCAATCTCTCATGAATTTTGACACTTGTCATTTTGTGGTATTTTTGAAATAAATAATATCCACATGTCAATTTTTAGGTTTTTTTTCAATTTTAAAAATTAAAAAGTTATATAATACTTATAGTTATATATGTAAAGTATTAATTGTAATAAATATGATAGTAAATTACAATAAATACGTTTTTTCTTTTTTTTTTATTTTGAATATTTACTTTAAAAAATATTAAAAGTTTATATTTTAATTTTTTTAATATTTTTGAATCAACCCATGTAATACACGAGTTTCATACCTAGTAATTATATATGTTTAAAATATTTTTTAAATGTTTATCTTTTTTTGACATTCATTGAAACAAAACAAAGTCTATTATCATGCTAAACAAAATTTAGTCAAAATAAAGTATAATACCTTTTTTACGCAAGTTGATCTTTTGGGACCACTATAGCTAAATTTGGTAGATGACTGATTTCTTTGTGCCTTTCCAAATTCTGATGACCACTTTGTTTTTTTTTGATAGATTCAAAGTAAAAATATATGTCAAAAGATTTTAATCAGTTCTAGCAAAAGTATTCAAATGTGTTCAATTTAAGAAGTATTAAGGGTTTGTATGTGTCTTTTGAAACTGATTATTACAATGTTAAAAAATCAGAATTAAATAATCGAGAAATATTCAATTAAAATGAATGATGACTGCATAATTATACACATACCCTTAGAAATCATTTTTTGGCATCAACTTCGGGTTTATGTGTTCAATTTCTAATTATTATGGCCCTAAAAAATACGAAAAATCAAAATAATCTTTTCAAACACCGAAAAGTCGAGGTCTTTATGTAATACATATAAATAAGTGGAGCGTTTTGAATTTTTTCGGCAACTTGCTATTCTTTTTGGCTTGGTTTTTCATAGTAAATACAAAACCATGGTTTATATATCTTCTAGCCACACCATATCCGTAAATTTCAAAAGTTATTTTTGTTATATTGTAGAGCAAATTATTTAGATTTATATATTATTTTTATACACAGAAGCATTATTTAGACAAATGGCTTATCTCTTTGTATAGAAAAGAAAAGCTGGCCATAAAGGATACCTCCCTTTTTAATATACTGGATCCGCCCTTGTCAATATGTCATCTAACTCCATCAGAAAAATGTCCAGGAAATCAAATGAAAAAACTTCATCAAGCCCCTACCAAAATAGGACCACTCTAACTTCTTGAATAAGGGAAGGGGGACTCTGTTTTGTATCTCGAGTTTTGTATCAAATAATGAAGTTTAAAAGATAATATACCAAAATATTAAAGTTTGAACTTTGAAACTCAATTACAAGAGATAGAAAATGTATTGTAGTTCTTACAATTCTTTATACTAAAAACCATAATAACACACAATCCAAATGTACAATTCTACTTGAAGAATACCAACAGTTATAAACTATAACTACGGATGCTTTGAAAAAAAACAACCAACACAAGAAGATTTGAATGGAAACCCGAAACAAACAAACAAATAAAACACACACACAAACGCACTACTATTAATATTGTAAAATCAACAATGTGAAGGGTGCAAAAGGTTGAAATTGCTTAAGGGGGAGGAGCAAAAGATGATGAATAAACGAATGAAAAATATGACATTTTAATGGCTTTATATATAGTTTTATAAGAAATCCTAATGATATTTTAAAACCTTTAATAGATTTTCTTTTTGGATCGGCTTAAACCTTTAATAGTTATAAAACTGATATGAACTCATCCCATATTAGGCCCGTATCATGCCATAAACTCAACTATAGAACTCACTCCCAAAAGCTAGTTTGTAGGAGGGGATACCTAGACTTATAAGTCACCAACTTATAGTACTTTCAGCCGATGTGGGATCATAACAATACCTCACGCTTTGAAGAGCCAACGTCCTCGATGGTCACAGTTGACACCCCCTTTCGGTCCAAGCCACCACTCCGAGTCATTGTTGGTCACGGTTGGCACTGTGGGATCATAACATAAACTTTCCTAACTAAATGATGAGTATTTGTTATATGCTTATAATAAACTAGTAACTTCGTAATTTGTGATAATTTCGGAACTCACATAAAATAATAAACATACATTAGCAATAAAAAAATGTTGAATATAATTGGAAACTGCATGTTAATTCAACATAGTCAAATGCAACGCTTTCAGAACATATTAAATCCTAGTGCACAACAACGTTTTGTTGGGTTATGGAGCATGATCTTCCCATTTATTGAGTTGTGGAGCCTTATCTCCCCCTCTGAACTAATGGTTTGTGGTGGCATCGTTAGTCTAGTCTATTGTGCTCGAGCTGAAGGTATGCGGTGCTCGACACATGTGTTTGCGGTGTTCAACACAATGTTTGTGGTGCTCAAGTCCATGTTTGTAGTGCTCGATAATCATGTTTGTGGTGTTTAGACCTGAGAGCCAGATTAGTGAATGACATTTTAATTGGCTTAGCCACAAACAATTTTATAGGCCAACATGTTATTATGAATAGATCTTCTTGTTCTTTTATAACCCTAAACAGAAAGCATGTGCATGACGCTTGTGTTTCTACAATTCTATCAAAAATTCCTCTCTAGTTCATCTGTGACTTAGCCGATCACTATGATCATGTGGACCACATTAGTTGTTTATGTTTTTTTTTCTTCGCATCCTTATCATGTATTGTGTGTTTTATCGACTCTTTATCCTAACAACATAGTCATGCAAAATAAGTTTCCAAAGCATCTTCAACAACTTCTATGCTAACCATAACATTGACATTTAGTTTTTCCAATAGGACACTTATACATAAAAAGAATTAATGGTTATTTCATACTCATTATCCCTATAATATATACCATAGAATCTTTAGATCAAAATATAATAACTCTAACTCCTACAATTAATAACAACATAAATAATCATTATTAACCAGAAAATACCTCCACATCATTAATATATCCATAGTAGATACTCCAAAGCGGGTGAAACTCAGCACACATTATAT